GTAGCATTTAAAATTATCTTTCAAACAAAAAAAAGTTCATTCCGATCCGACAAATAGTTTGCGAAATATACGATTAAAAAAAATCAATGGCCGCCATTTTGATGACGTCATAGCTCGAAAACGTACCAGGTGCGAACTTGACACCCGAGTGGAAAACACTTCCTAAGACACCTATATTGAAATGCAAAAGCAAAATTCTCTATACACGACATGCACACAGAACCCTAGTCAGGTCCTGGACTATATGTAGAATTTATATATCAGCAAAAATAAAAATAAATCCAAAACTTATTTGCATTTCATTGCTCCATGTATAAAAGATATAATAAATACAATTTAGGAAAGGATTTATAATCTAAAGGAGTACCGCAAGACAGACGGTAAATACCAAGTTATGAAATGCATCCTCAGACTGGGATCTAAATTTTGAAGAGACAGGGGATAGAAGAGAATGGGAGGCAAGAATCTCATAAGGTTTCAGTGGTCACGGAGGTAAGATAAGTTATGGTAAGTACATAAGTAGTCTATGCAATTGGAGGTGGCATGTAGCTACTCTACTCAAAACCAGTGTGAATCGGCCGCCAATCTCACTTCCAAGATTTTTCAAATCGAAACAAATGCTGTTTTATGGTAAAATTATCGGATTTAAAATGCATATCGCTATATTATAGGTCTATATTCGGATGGAAGAAATAGGTGGTCACGTGACATTTGTTTATAAGGTGATCGTACCCATTATAACTGTCAGAATTTGTCTCCATGCGTGTAAACTAGATCTTCTAAATTATTCTGCTTTAATTGGCAACTCGATTCCCGTGCGTAGGGCGGGCCACCAACTCGTATATTATAATTTATATTAATATATATTATAATATAATAATAATATAATATTATAAGTGCTTTTTTTGTTGGTATGCCATAACATCCTTATTTCTTCATAAATGAGTTGTCATTTGCTAACCTCTAAAATGAAAATAAAAAAAATTAAAATGTAAATGTTATTTCTTTGTAGTTATTTTAATATTATATTTGTGTTTAAATATTAGCTACTAGTTTAGTTTTAGTTTGACTTAAGTGAGTTGACTTGAAAATAATGCTGAAATGAGTTGATGAAACTCGCTTGCAAATAAAGGCCTTTTTATTTATTATTATTTTTAAGGCCTTTTTTACCCACTACACGGGAAAAATATACAAATCACTTATTTTTCAGTAGTTTTTCGTAAAAACAATCTATTATATCACTTTGTAAGTGATTTAGACTTGTAGCCTAATGTTTAATTTAAATAAAGTTTAGTTTGTTGTTTTGTTTTGCATTGAACACAAGCTCATTTTTCTTCTGTTAAAATTTATCAAGTATTTTGTCATTTTTATTAATTTTACTAGGCCCTACCTAAACCGTCCGTGATATCACTATTAATCGTGAATCGCGTATCAGTGACGACTACAATTGGCGACCGTGACAGGACTGACATAGGCTAAGAAATGACAAAACTAGAAGATGATTCAACGGCAATGCAGGGGAAAGCTCTGGAGGGACTTAGGCTAACGGCTTCGGGAGGCGGATGTGATTTGGAGAGGCGCCTTCGTCTGGACCTTAAGGGAGAAGGTGAAGACACCTGCGAGTTGCCATCACTGGTAGGAGGAACTACGCAGTTGGTACAGCAACCACGAGCAGCGGACCCGGTGAGTTTCTTTCTAGAGAAGATTTTAACACAAGTACAGGCTCAGTCAGAAAAAATGGATACTTATTTGGCAGATATTGACAATAAAATTACGTCCTCAATAAGAAAATTTACTCAAAAACATTCAAAATTTAATACAAGAGTTGGACCATTAGAGTCAGATTCTGTCATTGAAACTATCAAATATCCAAAGCTGGAAGATGGAGTGACTGATGAATCAAGTGGTTTGGAGATCAGAGTCAATGCCATTGGAACGATGCTTAGCAGCAGGCAGGATGACGTGGAGAAGGACAGAATGGTCTTGGACCACTTGGCGGATCACCGAATGGATTCCACGGAGCAAACCGTGTTGGACATTGGGCCAATCTCTGGCTCTATGCCCTTCAACGAGGACACGACATGTGATGTGGCCGAGAGGGATGCTGACGAGGAGATGGCATGTGGTGTGGACGAAGGGGATGGTGACTAGGAGACGACCTGGTGTGAACGAAGGGATACTGACGAGGAGACGATTTGTGATGTGGACGAGATCCCGCGTCGTTTGGATATAAGTTAGGCTACCTATTGTTTCTCCAATATAAAAAAAAAATTAAACACTGAATTTGATTTATGGGTTGTTTACGTTTTTTAATAACAATTTTTGATACCAATGAAACTATCAACCAAAACAAATAGCCTAGGCTAGACGTTGGCTAAGTTATAGGTATGAAAATTAACAAAATTAAAGAATAACTAGGCCGTCTGGCCGTAGTTACTAGTACAGTTTCTTTTTAGCCCTGATAACTAAAACAACAATACGAATACACTAAGCTGGTGTATTAGGTTACTAGGCCCCTACCTCTAGCAAGAGATAATGGTTCTCCTACTGCAGCCATGCTCGGTTCGGTTCGTGTATCGTGTCCGTGTGTAATGTGTAAGCCTATTGAATTCCACTTCACTTAATTTCTGATATTTTTTGGTCCTCTAAAGACTAGATGTAGATCATCTATTATTTCCACAATTCCACAATACACAAACTCGTCTGCTAGTAGCTGTAACAACTGGATAAACGCTGAGCAGTGGCCTCGCCAGTGGGTCTGACTTACGGGAGGTATAAATGAGCAAATGAGGCAACGATGAAATCATAGTTTAGTTCAAAATTTCTCCGTGAACAGCGCTGTAGTAGAGAGCACAGTAATTTTATGTCACTATATAAGCATTAACTTTATATCTCTATAAGATGCTATAAGTTAATTATAAAATTAAGAAAAATTATAAAATTAATCTTTTTCAATTCCTTTTAATAGGTTTAAGTCTGAAATGTTTGAGTGGCTCGTCCAAAATCCATATTACCGTATAACAGAGTACTTAGTTTCTGATGTTAATATTAATTTTTAATTTAGAACCCACTGTATTTTATAGCCTTAGTTTTTATTTCTATTGTTGACTATGTCTATTCCTTGTAAAAGGTCAATGACAATAAAGATCTTGATTCTTGATTCTTTTAGTTTTACAAAATTATAAAAACTGTCATAATCTAACTAAACTTGCTGATAATGAAAAAATCCAATGAAGGTTTTACTAATTTAAAAAAAATTGTTCTTTTTCATAAAATAAAACTATAAATGGCTTAAATTTCATTTTATAATGTTTTAATTATAAAATCAAGCTGGCATAACGTAACCAAACCAACCAAACTTGCTGATAATGAAAAGATGTCAGACAAAAAGTTAATGCTACCAGCGAGATTCGAACCCGGCACTTTCAGATCAAAAACGCTTTCACTACACCATTGAGGCCGATGACTCAGTACCGTATCGTTGGTTTAATGGTGTTCCCCCCTAATGGGGTTGTGACCTAAGCTAATATCAATAAAAATTCTTATGATAACCTATTCAATATTAAAAACAAAATTTCCAAAATATTTTTTAAACGACTTTAAATTTGTAGCTGAAGAAAGTGTAAGAAACTGCGTATGCCTCATCATAGAACGGGAGTTTATGACAGACCGTTTGTTGTTTTCTGCTTGTCGCCTTTGGAATGATCTCCCTCTAGCAAAAAAAAAAAACCTTGATAGCCGTCCCCGGTTTGTGACAGCACTAAAAAATCTGTTTTCTGGACGTATGGCCATGGTAGGTATATCCTAGGCGTGCGCTTGGTTGATCACTGACAGGTGTGCGTGTGTGTGTTTGTGTGTGTGTGTGGGTGTGTGTGTGTGGGTGTTTTGTAGGGTGGTATGTTTTAAAAGTTTATTGTTTCTTGTCTCATTAAATATTGTAAATAGATTATAGTATTTGTATTGTGTATTGTATATGTATTGTATTTTATATGTTTAGATTTGTATAAACAGGTTAAGTGTAAGAGAGGGCCATGTGGCCCTAACTTTGCCTGACTAAATAAATAATTTTTCATTTCATTCCATTTTATTTCCCTCGAGATAAGAGATCTACAGCTGACTTCATCGAAGGCTCTTCTATACCTCCCTTGAGTGAATACCCTGGCCAGTGCAGTGAGCGAGCAGAGCACTCAGGGCTGTCCCTAGGGTTGGCAACACCCGGAGTGTGGCCTTGAGCGAGCAAACGTGGTTGTGGCGCCCCCTCCCCTCCCAGTAATAATAGTCGCCAATCGCATATTTTAATACTATATTAATACAAATAGCTTCTGCGCGCAGCACTGAACTACCAAGTGCAAGCAGGCTACCCAAACCAACTACCATTTTATTCATTAGCGAAGGTGAAGGTGTGCTGTCGGACCCGGACCTCGACCCCTCGTCTCGGACAGCAAGCACTGAGCTATAATTCTAACTGGAGGTAGCACTGAATGTCAAAGATGCGTGTCGCCAGCCGCCATGTTTGCGTGAGGTGTGAATTATAAGGAAGCCATGTTATTGGATAAAAATACTCACTGCTATACCAACCTAGTTATAGAAGCCATGTTATTGCTATGATAAGAAAACTCGCTGCTATACCAAACTAACAAAATCAGCGACACGCTTTTGACAGACTTCTGCCATGGCAGCGCTACCTCCAGTTATAATTTTAGCTCAGTGACAGCAAGTGACAGAAGGCTATCAAACCAAGACCAAACAAATAAAAAGTCCAAACCAAACCAACACCAACCAGCAACAATAGTTATACATTTTCCTACTAGAGTGCAACAGCTGTCACGTCAACCTCATAACAATCAGACAAGTGCTGCTTCAAGCGGTCTGCTAGAACCAACCTCCCGCCTCTCCTACCAAATACACGAATACACACCTAGTAGTTGTAGTTGGCAATTTATCCGGGAGATGGCAGCACTAGCACAACAAACCTAGTCTAACTAAGTCTAGTGGAATGGAATGAACGAATGAAATTGGTTGTTTATTTTTGGGAGTGTACTAATTTTCATTTGTGTATTTATTTCATTAAAACAATATTTTTCTACTTTTGAAATTTAAAATCCTCAAATCAAAATGGAAGATATTTTTCATTGGTGCAGGGAAGGAAATGCAATGCAAGTCCGTGTTTGGTTGGATGATACTGAAAATGACATGAACCAAGGGTAGGCCTATGAGATACATTAAAGCTAGATTTATACTCAATCTTTCCCTAATAATTGACACAAACTACAGTCAGACCAAAGTAAATTTTAAATTTTGCTAATAACTATAACTTATTAAAACAATCTTTAAATGCCAAGTAGTCTATGCATCAAATGGATATAACCTTATAAGGACATGCTTATATGCTCCACCTCCTTATGACATTGAATTTTTAAACTTATGTAGCCTATTTTAGCACATTATTGGTAAGGTGCATGCTACAGAAAATAATTTTGTGTGAACTTTCCACTCCTCTGAATGTGTCTTAACTTAAATTAAAATTAAGTTAAAACATACGGTACTTAAGTTAAGTATCTTACTTACTTAAGTTACTTGATAATTGAAGTCTTCATCTTCGACCAGCGTTGCTGGATTGATTACGTCAATGGTTTGTTTGGCTAGACGAGGTCGCTAAAGTTGTCCTTGAAGAACTCTTTCAGTGAGTAGTATGCTCTACCAATGAGCCAGGACTTAATTTTGGTCTTGAAGTTATTGTCATCCAGGGATTTAACTCCAGCTGGCAGCCTATTGAACATCTTGAGGGCCAGGTGAGGGAAACAGTCCTTTTTTTGTGAGTCTGCAGTAGGGGAGGTTTAATCTGATGCTATGTCGAAGATTCAGGCCATGCATCTCCGCTCTTGTACAAAAGGTGTTTATGTTTGTCTTGACGTGTAGTAGGCTTACAAAAATATAATTGCTGTACACAGTGACGATTCCCAGTTGCCGAAAAATTAACCTACAGTGGTCTAGATAGTCGGCCGACTACGCTATCCTTACAGCTTTTTTCTGGAGAAGCTACACAGCTACAGGTCACAGCTAAGATGGCTATGAAAGAGCCCATGATAGATAATGGTTAGATGTTCCTTTAACAAAAGTGGCATACATAAGCCTACGCAGCAGGTGTACAACTCTTGATAGCTTTTTGCAGACATTTTCTGAATGCTCGTTCCACATTAGTCATGAGTCGAGTTGGAATCCCAACAGTTTCACCGTCTCAGGCTGGCAAACCTGGCTGAGGCTGCATGTCATAGTTTGGGTTATGTCAGCATTGAGACTTAGCCTATTAATTTCAAACCAGGCCTTTGCCTTGTTGAAAATTTGATTTGCCCTCAGACTTGAATCTTCTGGTGACTTACCCCTTGAGCATATTGGTGGTGTCATCTGCAAAGAGTAGTATATCACCTAGCAAACTTAAGTAATTTATCACAATGATAAACAGCACTGGACCCATGACAGAGCCCTGTGGGACACCATGTCTCACTGGAAGGGGGGAAGATGAGACTCCTCGTATTGAGACTATCTGCTAGAGTTACCGTCTTGGAGATAGGAGTACCTACAGCAGATGTAGGACTGGTCCTTGGACACCATATTTCTTCAATTTTTGTAATAGAACTTTGTGAGGAACACACTCAAATGCCTTACTTAAATCGGCAAGAATAAGGGATACTGAACCTCTTTCCTCAAATGTGTCCAAAATACTAGAGACCAGTTTTAACACGGCATTCAATGTTGATTTCTGCTCCCTGAATCCATGTTGTGCTTCTGCGAATAGCTTGTTCCTTTCAAAGTGGAACACCAACTGGTCCTACATAACAGTCTCAAACACTTTGGCCAGTGCTGGAATAATAGAGATAGGTCTGTAGCTTGACATTAGATGAGGGTCGCCCTTCTTAAATATTGGTACAGTACGTGCAGTCTTGAGGACACGAGGGAACACCCCTTGTTCAACACAGGTATTAATTACAACTGAAAGGGGGTAGGCTATCACATCAGCAATATACTTGAGCACAATTACATTCATCCGGACTATGTGAGTTCTTGAAGGATTTGATAACCTTCAATACATGAGTTGGGCTAGCATGTCTCCATCTGGTGAACTGATTATTTGTATTAAAGGCCTCTCCAAAGTTCAGATTGTCATTGCTTTCAACACATGGTATAGAATCAACATAATATAGGCTCGGTCCTATATTCCTAGTGTGTACAATCTTTAGCCTAGGCCCTAGTAGGCCTAATTATTGAAATTTGTAACTAGTAGGCCTAGGCTGATTTGCTTCAATAATTGAAAGGGATTAAGTTAACTTAATATGTTATTTTACAGAGTAAAGTTACGATATTAATTAGTACTTAACTTAGTTAAAATCGAGTACCAGTACCAGAACTTAAGTTTAACTCTAAATATATTATAAGTTACATAACTTATCAAATGAAATAATCGATCCCTATCAAAATTTCATTCAATTGTTCTATGGGACACTTAACTTATGAAACTGCTGTTAATTATTTTTACTAACATAACTTATACAATAACTTTACAAATTATCATTGGTACCAGTATCCAACGTTTCTAAGATAAAATCTTCCAAGCTGCATGCCCATGTTTTGTCTAAGATTTACTAGAAAGAAGAAATAAACATTTGATTCTTTAAGTTTGGCTTAAAGGTTATTTGGCTTTAAGTTAATCCAACCCCGGGATTTCTAGATTCGTTCAAGCATAGACAATTAGAATAAATATAGACTGTCAAAGGAAGGTTCCGGTGCCCACCGCTAGGTTTGCCGTGTAGTTACGGCGCACACCGCTGCAGAGTCTGACGGTCGCATATGGCTCCTGCGCTTCCGGGAAGCGCATGAGCCGTATGCAAGCGGGACAGCCGGGATTTCCGCTTGCAGCGGTTTGCGCCGTAACTACACGGCAAACCTAGTGGTGGACGCCAGAACTTCTGCTAACCGCAGCACAGCTGACGGTCAACATTTATTCTATTTGCCTATGGTTCAAGTCAATCCCAGGTTTATAAAATATTTAACTGTTTAATTAATAACTTACCATTTTAATTTAGAGATGATCATGGATTCAGTCCGTTGCACTGGGCTTCTAAAGAAGGGCACACTAAAATTGTCGAGTTGCTGCTTCAGCGTGGTGCCCGAGTTAATGCCACTAATCGCGGAGACGATACGCCTCTTCACCTGGCTGCTGCACATGGTCATCGAGAAATTGTCCATATGGTATGTAAGATAGCCTACTCTCTGATATCATTTGTGGTTTGTTAGGGTATAATCATAAAAAACCATTACACATATTAAATCTTGTAAAAATGAATTAAGGCATATACCGGTACAAATTAAATTGAATTTCAGAAATATCACTAATTTTAGTCTCTAACTTAATCATCTTGGTAGGTTGGCAAAACATATTCTAATACAACCAACTGGAATAGAAATGCCTACAATTTCAAATTGATTCTGATTTGAGAAACCATTTTAAAGTTTAATTAATTTTTGCAGTTGTTGCGTAATCGTGCGGACATCAACTTCACAAACGAGCACGGAAACACGCCGCTGCACTATGCATGTTTCTGGGGCTACCAACAACTCGCGGAGGACCTCATATCACAAGGTGCTCTAGCGTCTCTGGCCAATAAAGACGGTGACACTCCGCTTGACAAGGCACGGGGGCCTTTGGCCAAACGGCTACATGGTTAGTAAACACATGAAACATGTTTTTAAAGTTCATTATTGTGAGGGATACTTTTTTAAAGTAAAATAGTTTGACAGTTTGGCCCTCTTTATTGCTTAACTTGGAGGATTTTCTGTACCTCCTGATGGGCTACACAGTATCCGAACCGAACACTCAAGCGATAGAAAAGGTCCAACTAACTCATTTTACTAAAAACATATTGGCTAGTAGTATCTTTAGAGAGCAAAGTAGTTTTTTTCCCATTTCAAAGTGTAGATGAGGAAAGGAAAAACCTGTCGAGTATGGAAGATAATTTTCTCCAGTAGACCTATCCTTGTGGCAAATGGATAGGCCTATGTCATTCTCACCCTCTCGAACGCAAATAAGACTTTTCTTTACTGATTACCAAAGTGTTAAATTATAAATTGTACCTTAATGATGATTTGCTTGAATAGTTGGTAAAAGTATGTCTTTTTTAAAGAAATAAAAAGATAACTAATTAATGCACAGATCCTTTATATTCCTCATACATTTGATACTACTGTATTCTAATCTTTTTAGATTTGGCTGTTGAGACTGGACAGGACTTGAAGAAAATTAACTTCAAGGACCAAAGCTGGCTTGGACTTAAGACCCGAAGCCGTAAGTATTTGAGAATAATTTGCAAATTAAGATTTTTTTGCAAGCATCTAGTAGTGATTGAGATGATGTAGGCCCTATCTGTAAAGTTTTTTTTTTTTATATTGTCAACACTTTACGAGTATTAGCCTATAAGAAACTTGTTGTCACAGGTGATGCTACATTGTCTCGTCACAAAGGTATCAACATCTCAGATCTCTCACTACACACTCGTATTGCTGTATCCCCCTCGGGCGAGACCTGGCGTGGACGATGGCAAAAGAACGACATTGTAGCCAAGATACTGGCTGTGAGAGAGTGTACTCCTCGTATCTCTAGGGACTTCAATGAGGAGTTTCCTAAACTAAGGTGAGTCCGATGGAATCAGTCAGTCAGCTGTGATCTTAGAAACAAAGCTGTAGCTTATTTGACTCTGTTATAAACTCATCCAAAATTTTACCTTCAGTTTCTGGTATGTATACAAAGTATGTCACTGTCTGAATTAAGTGACATAATTTAAATAAAAGTGGTTGAACGGGAATTACTTTGCAAGGAGAGATAAGCTTACATAGCTAGCTTACAGGTGAAAATTATAGAGCCCAGTGGCTGATATATCTATAAACAAAAAAAGGAAAAGACACAAAAAGTTCATCTTTTCCATATCTACTCTTTGGAGAAGTGCTATAGGATGCAATATCAAAGGATCTGTGCCCTTTTACTGTGAATATATTATCTAGCCCCTAGACTTAGGTAAGCTAGCTGAACTCTTCCCCTTTAAAAAAAAATCTTGAGTAGCCTAGGCGATTAAGGTCCTAATTATTTTGTAAACCAATAAAATTCAGCTAGATTATCTGAAAAAAAAAAAAAAAATAGAGCCAGAATCAAAAGTTACACAGATAACAAATCACAAATCATTACACTGTTCAATCTAGTTTTGTAAGAAGTCCTACATTAGGGTGAAAATCAGGGTCATGATTGGTTAGCATGGTAATATCAGCTTACATATTGCAGAGTGTAAGCCAGAACGATCATTTTTTTAATATTTCCCAAACCAGCCACCTGGCTTTTCCTTACGGTTAATAAATAAGATGTAGTACATTTTTCAACAGCTCAGTTGTAGACATTAGTTTTGAACATTGTGATACTGGATTTTACCATTGAACATTAAAATATTTAAACACTCTGTAACTCCCAATCTTTCTATGCAGGATCTTCTCTCATCCGAATGTGTTGCCTGTGGTTGGCTGCTGTAACTCTCCGCCCAGCCTCGTAGTGATCAACCAGCACATGCCGTGGGGTTCGTTGTTCACTCTACTGCACGAGGGTGCTGGCGTGGTGGTAGACTCCGCTCAGGCTCTGCGGTTCGCTGTCGATGTCGCCCGAGGGATGGCATTCCTACACAGTCTAGAGCGCCTCACCCCACGCTACCACCTCAACAGCCGACACATCATGGTAGGTGGTGGTACACTGTTAGGAGAACTTGTAGTTTTACTGGGTCCAGAAATGATCATTATTTTTTATAAATAATTATAAGCTTTATTTTTTTATTTTTTTGCAGGAATTGGTAGCCAGCTAGCTTACCTTTGAAAGTACAGGCACACCATAAAGCACACGGAGATACGATAAAACATAATATTTGGTCCTGAAGTGTTGTGTGTTCTATGGCCTATTCTTTTACTAAAGTAAGCTATCAATTCCTCCAACAAATCAAAAAATAAAGAACAAACATTAAGTTGAAGCAATGAATACACAAACTATAAAGGAGAACAGGTCCTATGGACAATATTCTAACAGTATTTTCAAATTTGGCCCGCGAAACATCTGTAGTTTTTCACTGAACCACCATTCACCGCTGGCGTCAAGTTTAGCACGCAGTGAAGTGGGAGAGAGAGCGACATACACTGTTTTCGTCCCCTATGGGCCAGGTCACGAGAGAGGGAGAGAGGGGACGAAAACAGTGTATGTCGCTCTCTCTCGCACTTCACCGCGTGCTAAACTTGACGCCAGCGCTGGATCTTGGTTCAGTGCAGAACTACAAATATTTCGCGTGCCAAATTGGAAAATACTGTTAGAATATATTCTATAGGATATCTTTATAGTTTGTGTATTCATTGGTTGAAGCCACATGACAGTATCAAATGCTTCATCCATTTTAAATCAGCCGTTACCTAAAGACGAAAATTTCCTTTAAAATCACCTCTAAAACATAGTATCTCAAGAAGAAAATCAAACATAACCTTTCCAATTTTCTGTTTTAGATCGACGAGGACCTGACAGCAAGAATCAACATGGCCGATGCTAAGTTCTCTTTTCAAGAGAAAGGCCGTGTCTACTATCCAGCTTGGATGTCTCCTGAGGGTAAACAAATATTAGTACTGTAGGCCTAGCAAGTTTATGATGACTTTGTTTTAGGTTTTGTTTTATTTTAAAACTTAGTAACGCTATTGGTGAACTTATGATTTGTTTGGATTCAGTAAGGTCACTTAAATTATCAAGTAGGCTACATAAGCTACTGTAACGGTACGTATTTCCTCTTTGGAATACCTACTGTTACTTTGGGTGACGTAGCTCAGGAATGAAACTCAGCACTCGCTTACAAAACCCAACTTTATTAATTACTCAAAACAACACAAAGAACACAAAGCTAAACTAACAATCAAAAAAGGTAGAGTAGACTGGAACTGTAATCATTTAGTTAGAAACTGAAACCCCAATTTTGAAAAGACTCTAAACCCCAATTTTGAAAACCCTTAACATTTTCTTACCTGGACCCAAGGCCAAGGGCCTTGGGCTCCAGCTCCCCCAGCAGGACCCCGTCCTCTGGTGCACCACACAAACCACTCCACACAAAACTGACCCCTTGATCAAGTGCACTGGCCTACTTAAAGCAACAGCCTTCAGTAGGTCAGCACAACAAGTTATTGTTTAACAACACTATCAGCCTACTCACACAACATTGCCAAACACTTCCTCTTTACAATATTTGACACTACTTTTCTCTACTCATGAAGCAAAATTGTGTGATTTTAGTTGGTCACTTTTCATTGACCATTTTATAAACAGTTTTACAAAATTCACTTAAAAATATCATCAACTTTGAATGTGAAAATAACTAAAGATTGCAAGGTTCACAAAGTAATATTCCATACCTAGTCCCACGAAACAACGTTATTTAGGTACGGTATGGATTTTATACCGATATGCAAAAGCAAACTTCTTGCAATTGACTAATTTCTGTAATTTTTATATTGCAATGGTTTGTGTTTTTGCAGCGCTTCAAAAGAAGCCTAGCGAGATCAACCTTGAGGCTAGCGATATGTGGAGTTTCGCCGTACTTCTGTGGGAGCTCGCTACTCGTGAGGTTCCCTTTGCTGACTTGTCCCCCATGGAAGTGGGAATGAAGGTAACTTCATTGATAAGCTGTTAATTTATGTTGTGTCAAAACAAACTAAAACTTTGGTTTACCCGTGTTGTTTCCATTTGAAAGTACAGAATAAAAATTAAATCACAAAATTTTATTTGTGTAATTATTTAAGTTAAAGCTAATAAAAATTATGTGCACCGCCAGTCTTAAAATATTAAAGGTAACATATATATTGACATTTTCTAACTCACTGGTAAATTATGAATATAGCCTACTTGGTAATTCATCAATGTCATAGATGATTTAGTGATAAAAAACCTTGAAATAAATTGATGTCGTAACTGTGTAGAGAGTTACTTTTGTGCTCTTTTTTCAAACATATTTTAACTGTAACTGTACAATTTTACATATACTTGATTTTGCATATAGGTCACATAAATATATTTTTTAAGATAACTATAATTTTTTGTATTCTTTTATGTGTCCACAACTAAATTAGTAGGCCTAACTTTGTATGAGGGTTAAAAACTGTCAAACCTTTGCAGGAAATAGAAAATTCAGAGTATGTTTACACCTTGAGTAAGGTGAGGGCTTTCATTGACAGTGTTTTCCTCTTTATTTTGATCGCAAACTTGTTCACGAACTTACAAGTGAGTTATTTGTAGGTCGCTCTGGAGGGTCTCCGCATCAGTATTCCCCCCGGCATCTCGTCCCACCTGGCCAAGTTGATCAGGATCTGTATGAACGAGGATCCTGGAAAACGTCCGACCTTCGACATGGTGCTTCCGATTTTGGATAAGATGAAGCGATAAGTCACTTGCCGACCTGTCGTAGAATCTCCGGTGTATTTTGCATCCCCTAACCAAGCAGTTCTCAAACTTAGGTTTGTTCCAATCGATTGTAGATGATTTTATTTATTGTGCCATAAGGTCCATAATTTCAAACACTTTGTGTAGCCTAGTTCAAACACTTTAGTTTTACGTTATGTTATCATGTTACCTTGTTTGAGTACTGCTGCAAGATTATTTATATTTTAACGATTTAGGTTGACAATTTCTAGAGAATTTTATTTAGCCTGATTTATTTTTAAAGTATAAAAAAATTATATACATTTTGTGAACATTGTAATTGTTCAAAAAGGTAAAATCAATGGCTGAACTAATATCTATTTTGGTTCAATATGTATACAAAGTTTTAAACAGCCAATGGTGCTCGGTGGATGTGCATTTTTGGTTTATGGTCACACTTTGAAAAGTTTGAGAATTGCTGTTTTTACCCCGTAACTAACCTGGAGAGTAAGTGAACAAAAATAATACTTTGAAGTACACTTAGCTAATTTCAAAATTTTGAATATACTGCCAACAAACATTAACCACAAGCTTTGTAGTAATGATTTTCAAATAGCCTGCCTCCTTAAGTGTGTAGTAATTTATTTAGAATGGCTACGAAGATTTGCAAGTGTAATAATCCTAAGCATTTAAATTAGGATATTTTTTGTTATTTTCCTAGGAGTTGATCGATTGAGGTTATAGTTGGTTTTACAAAAACGATAGTAGGTTTAACAAAAAAATTAACCATGTATACATATTTGTTAATTTGTATATTTTAGCCTAATCCAAACATTCAACAAAAAACAATAACATTTTTAGTATGATTATTTTACTCATGCTTATGATGTAAGATTCAGTGCTAATTTTCAGACTACTAATGATCATTTATTACAATTAATATTTTTAATCAACAGTATTATAGTGGTTATATTTGATTTTGGTGTGGTCTTTACTTGGCATTTTGGGTTAGTTTCTAACAAGATAACAAGGTAATTCAAGGAGGAATTTATATTTTCTATCATTTTAGAAGTTAAAATGTTATTGTTGATTTTTAATCATTCGCAGTTTCAGATTATTTTTTAGTGCTGTAGTTATGCAGGGAACGTATGTTTGGTACAAAGTGTACATTTATCTGTCTGTACAAATATCAGTCATACAGTATTGGAATGCGATGATGTTTTATAGAGTTTAAGATATATATTATATACAGTTATATTCAATGTTAGTAATAATTTTATGTACAGTTTCAAATTTTCTGTCACATTTTAGCTCAAATGTTAACAATATTTGAAGCACAAAAGATATTTTAGTAGAGTCGTTTTACTTGTATTATTCTGTGTATTGTTGTTTTATTCAAGGACTATTCATCTGACAGATGTTTTTATTTCAATAACATTTTGAAAAGGAAGACAGATTGACTTTTTAACTGTACTAAAAGTGGCTTGTTAGTTTTTTAGGTCTCTCAATTTTTGTAAGGATTACATAGTCTACGCTAAACATTCTTGTTTTTATTCAGATGTTAAATTATATATAAATATATATATATATATATATACATATATAAAATAAAGTTTTTAACTATTACGTTGAGTACTGTGTGTTCCCGGATGAGATTTTTTACTTAAGAAACATTGGGAAATTGATATTAGTTAAAAGCTAGATTTAGGCTACTGACGATTTTTATCAGAAAAGTTCAAGTTTAAGTGTTCAAACTTTTCTGCTTCCAATAACTACAGGAAACATTCTCCGTCGTATTTTGCCTTGATACTTAGCATAGAAGTCAATTATAAGTCCGAATTTTGGAATAGAATAGGCTGTGCTTGAAGTGTTCAAACAATTTAATTTTACATTGTCTTGCCAAGATTTAATATCGTCTCATCTATAAAATGTTAAGTGTCCATGAAATTGTACTTAAAGCTAAAAGTTTGTAATGAATATTTAAATTATCTTTCAGTCTAAGATTGTTTATTTACTTTAAATTTTTTGGTCACTTATTTGTTGGTTGGTAAATAACATCTTTTAAAATATTTAATATTCTGACTATTACCATTGGTTTCTTTGATGGTTTATTATTACCTTTTAACTCTAGATATAAATAATATTAAATCCCAAAAATTACATGAATATACATAATTAAGTGGTCACAATATTAGGGAATTTATAATTCAATTTAAATATTTAACTTGTTTAGTTTAGTTAATGTTTTGCTGTAATTTGTTTTCATAAATGAATGTAACTGTGGAATTGTGTTCATTAATAATAATCCTATTTATTTTATGTTTAGGAGTACTTTATGTTATAACTTAACATTATGTATTGTAGAAGCTTTTACATTTAAGTATTTATTCCTGTCAAAATTATAATGTATGGATAGGTAAATTTTATAATTAATTTTTCTGTGTAGAATTTAACTGTTAAAAAGGTCAACAACTTACAGTAAAATAATTGCTCATTATAGATATATATTATGTGAAGTAGACATTCCAAAGTTTTAGAATTAAAAATAACTTAATGCAATTTAGCCAACAATGCTGCTGTAACAACTGTTTTCTCTTATATACACCCAAATAATTCTTGATTATACAAAAAGGAATGGGCAACTTCATACTAACTATGACATCTTGTATCTATTCATCAACTTTCAGAGACTAAAATACTTGAATACAGTATCATTTCACTCATTCTTCAGTTGACTGTGTCTTTGAGTGGAAAAGGGTTAAAATTATCCATGTAGATGGGATGTCTACTTCTACTTCAGTAACTAAACCGATGGTAAAACTAAGCTGAGTTTTGGAACAAATTGGTTGAAATTTCTTTACATTCAAAAGTAGAAATTAATTTACAATCTTGACTTTTTATTAGGGATGGACGAGATTGGATTTTGAGTTCGAGACGAGACGAGACGAGATTTTTTTATTTCTCATAAAATTTCGAGACGAGATCGAGACGGGATTTCCCTTCTCATACACAACGGGAAATAAACGTTCGGAATTTTTACCTGATTTTGTATCATTGTTAGATGACTGTTTAAATAGAAAAATAATGATAATAGGCAAGAATATTTGCAATCTTTTATTAAAAAACATCAGCATAACATTTTTTTATTAATCACGCCTAAATTATTAAAAATGCCTACGATGAGGAAACATAGTGATATCAGTTAGGATAGAACTGAAGACTAGACCTTATCCTAAAATAAAATAAATCATAAAATAAAATATTAATTTTTATAAAATAGTTACTTGTTTTGACTTTTTTATAGTAATAAAACATTCCTCACACTGCTAACACTTAACAAAACTTCTCAAATGTTATTAAAATAATTAAAGTAATATTTACATTTGAAGAATTAATTAAATAAGAACGCCTTCACAAAGGAAACGCAACTACAACACGCTCCTGTATTGCGGGTATTGCATTGACTTTCTGCAGGCGTTTTTAATTTTTTTTTTTTTTAATTCTCGTCTCGATAAAAATCTCGGCCAAAAAAAAATCTCGTCTCGTGTAACGAGATTTAAAATTTCCCGAAAATTTCCCGAAATTTCGAGACTTCACCATCCCTACTTTTTATGTTATTTAACTAAACCAATATTTTCTATTTAAATTCAAAAGCTTGAGTGTAATTTATACTGAATATCTGTATAAATTTCCTCCTCATACGCAGGATTATTTATGAATTCTACTAGTCTTTATTTATATTTCACTTCCACCTTTAGTTTACTGAAATAATTTTTAGAATAGTATACTCTGGTATGTCAATTCAGTGTTTAAAACATTTGGTGCCTTTAGTGCTTATTAGCACATACAATTTATGCCAGTTATAGTTTTCTTTTCAACCATGAACATAAACTCAATGCAATAATTTATTATGTACTCCTCTTCCGAATAAGGATGGAATAGTATATATTGCGTAACAAGAGTAGAAAGTGAGTCATTACATATTTGAGACCATGTTTATAAACCCGACCATATTGCCGAGAATATGTAAAGCCCCACTTCCACTCCTGTTTTGACCGTTACTTTTCGCTACACTACAAAGACTAATAATTTTCCTAGACATTGGATATTTCTTATTAAAGAACATTAAGTTACAAAACTCACAGCAAGTTTTACGTTATGCCTTCAATTTAAAGGTGATATTTACTTTGGTTGTACAGATTTTGTTGTTAAAAATTGAAACAGTTGACGAAACAATAACAAATATTTGTTTGTTTACGTCGGCAAAATCCAAAAAACAATCGAATGATGAATTTTCTCAGGTGATAAACATGTAACGGAAACAGGTCATTTGACAGTAGTGTAGCGAAAACTATTTTATTTTACAACCAAAAGAGATGATGTCAACTGTATTTTTAATAATATTTAAGTTAGTTCTTTTAACCATAAACATTTTTACTCTCGCTTTTAAGTCTTTAAGTAGGCTCTAATCTTAATTTATGCGTCTAATCTGGTTTGTATTTTTTACAATTTTGTTTTATGTATATAACTCTAGTTTGTATTTATTGTTCTGTTATTAATTATAATAAATGTTTAATGTAACTATCTCTTTACTTTTTTACACCTTGTTTTCCACCATTGATAGTAAAATGAATGTTAAGAATTGCTATTGAGATTTGTGAACTAGAATATTTTTTTAACTTCCAACAAGACCGCGGGACAATATATTCATGATTTTACGTCATTATGGAATACGATTGTAAGAGAAGTTGTAGAATTTTCCGCAGTCGAGGGCGACAATGATGACATCTTCGTGATTCTTGCAGATGTGTCAACATTTTGCTGGCATTGCTAGAGAAAATGATGATGTCTTCGCCATTGTGTGGGATGGATATGATTTTTCTGCGAATTATATTCAGGATGAGTGATGACAAATGATAAATGCACACTACACCACTTTTATGGATATCAAAACTTAATACTGTTTTTCTATAGGCAACCATAGAAGATATACGTCAAAACTTTACATAGTAATGACAAGTGTTAAGGAATAAATAGTAATTAGGTTTTCGTGTCAAATATTATTGCAAACGTTTCCCATGACTTATAAATGAAACCAAAGTTTTACCTGCAATTGTCCCTGTAACAACATAAACTTACCTTCATCAAATATAAGTGGTAGGCCTAGGTTATAATACATTTAAAGTTGTCGTCAACCAATAAAAAATGCAACCGACAAATGTCTAGATGCAGGATTGATTCAACAGATGTTAATAATACAATGTATTTATAGTATAAAAGTTATCAGCACATAATATTAGAACTAAATTAATATTAAAACTTAACCTTAAAGTGATAACAGTTTATACATAATCATATTTACAGACACAGCATTCAGCCACAAAAATATTAATATACACTTAATACAGAATGTATCTTCAAATTACAAAATCAATAAATACTCAAAGCAAATAACAATATATTTTAAATTAACTTTGATTACTTTAACAAGTAAAATACTTTTTAGCTTTGCACTTACATTAGGAACGATATTATCTCTAGAACAAACAATGTCTCGCTTGTTTAGTTCAGATAAACTCAACAGTCGTGCAACTTAGTTGCTTTCATAGTTCCCAGTCATACAAAAATATCACATTTCAAACCACACACGATTCACAGTACGAATAGAGAGCGATGTGGAATCGAAAAATCACAATTGATTAATGAAACAACATACATAACAAAGATCAGCAAAACATAGAGATTCTGTTGTGCGTTGTTGAGTTTTCAATCTACAGAATGGTGCACTCGCAACATTGCATTGTAAAGTACAGACAGTCCAAACCACAACTTGATTCTTCTTTCTCAGGAATGTCTATTTTCTCCGGTTCGGTCAGTTCAATGTTTTTCCCCGCAGGTGAAGTAAGCTCGACTGCACTTTGTTGGACACAAATAGCGTCAACATCCATTTGCTCACTCGGGTTCAAAGTCCGCTTTTTCTCCCCTCGCTCTTCATTACTGCTACTGGACGAACTTGAAGAGCTCTGAAAAACAGTAGTAATTTTTTTTTAAATCTGCAAACCAATTTTGACAGAAAAAAATGTTTATTAACTGAATGAAGTACATATGTTTTAGGCCAAGGATCCGCCAGAGGGGCAGACTCTTTTTGGGGTAATATTTGTAAAAAATAAAAACAAAAACTTATAAGTGTACACCTCTAGGTTTGGATTTTGTTATACATTACGCCTCCAGATTGCCACAAAATGCCAGGGTACAGTCAAGTTATTTTACTAACTTGTAAAAGCTAACTTGTTGTTATCAAGCTGTAACTTCATCTTTGATTATTGATTATCATTCTCAACAGCCTCTACCTTTTTGACTAGCTGGATCCACCCATATTTAAGGTTATATAAATCAATTTTAATTTGACATAAGCCGAAGATATCGAAGAATTTTGTAAAATCCTCAAGTATGTAAAAAAGGAAAGGTAATACACGCTTGGAAAGAGCTGTATATTTTATAAAGAAACATGTAAAAATAGGGAAAAATTGATAAATAAATAAATAAACTTTGAATCCGCCTGAACTTATCTGAGTTCACTTCAGAAACTTCCGTTGACCTTGTGTATTTAAGCAAAGGCGATTTAGATTCGTTCAATATTCTATTGGGCCTGATAATAATAACCCAAATGTCTGGTTGAAAACGATTGTCATTGTAACATCTTTTACATAATGTTAACGTATTGTTAAGGTTTACAGTATCGGTGTAAATATATTGGATAGCGTTTGAATAAGGTAGGTATTTTGTAAATTGTATTTATATAAAAGCGCCAAAAAGTGTGTTCTAAAAGTTATTTACTAGTAAAAAAAACTGTTAATTAGTCCACCTGCAGTGACAACGGGCGATGCTCATAGTTTGTGTTGTTGTAAGATGGTTGGTCCAGCTCAGAGATGTTTCCTGAAGTGTTGATCTCAGCGACCGTCTGATTGGTGAAGCTTGACTCCAGTTCTGTGTCTCTATTTCCATTGAACTCGACGTCCTGGGGTTCGTATTGCACCCCGGCGTCCGCCATCTTGCGGTAGGTCCGGTAACTAGGGCGAGGTACTGAGTTCACCCCGTTCCCTGATACCATGCTCAACCTGCAACGTAAGGGTCTGTTTAGTACATAACATTGATATTGTTTCTCTTTTAAAGTTCAATGATGGTTATCAATTTGTTGCAGACATTTTCCATCCCAGAATATGACCTAGTATTCAGGTGGGAAGTAAAATAGTTTTTTTAAGATATTGTGTTTCCCAACATTGCCGTTTTGTGTCCTAATGTTCTTATTTATAAAGTTTCTTTCTATCTGAAGTTGGAGTCACATTTCGCAATTCAAGCTTCGTAAAACATCTTTTTTACAAATCAGTGAAAGAGTTGTTTGCATTAATCCTTTTATCTTTGTTTTGTATAGTTTTAAATTTATCTTAGTGTATGATGAATACTGTTCAGCAGAAATGAGTTGTTAATTTTGAACATGCACATTTTAATGAAAGAGGTTAACTATACAAAAATAATTGGATTTATTAGTTATAAGTTATTTCTCTAAAAATAGGTGTAACCATAAATTACTGTAAATTTAAAGAAACAATTCTTTACTCAACAGCTGAGAAAGGATTTGTAACATAATTGAAAGGTGAAAGGACTAAAACATGCAGCTGAGTGATGATTTTATATTCATGCAATAGTTTTTGCAGTTCAATTATTCAATTATCTTATCAATTATCAATTATTTAAGATGGGGACGCCACATGTGCGTATTTTAACCCAAATATGAGTGAAGGATGAGTGGCGGGATCTTGTAGTCTTGTTAGTGACTAAGGCCGACATGTTCCTTAGACACAGCCGTTAATTAATAGCCCATACAGCTATTGGCAACTAAGGGACCTACAGTTTATAAGAATAAGAATAAGAATCTTTATTACCCTTTAAACATTTTACAGTGCAATAGGGTTCGTCATTTGCTACATAATATTAAAATGTAATTAAATATTTCACATGAAATAGTAACAAAGATAATTTTATCAAATAAGTTAAGACAAGCTGGCCTGATTCTAATCTAAAAACTAGTCTACTAATGGCATGGTGAAACACAATGCAAAAAATATGAGCAAAATACAAGTCAAAATAGAACGAGTACATAGAAACAATACTAACATGGCAAAATGATAAAAATTGATTTTGAAACAAATTGTCAAAGGTAAATAAAAATATGACTATATCAAAATGGTTAACATCAGAAACAAGTTACTTAAATAATATGACTAGAATGAATCAAAGAATTAAACAAGTTGGGGACATTGCGGTTGCTTTTCAAATATCAATTTTGAAATATCGCTTTTAAAAAACTCATCTAGTTTGTAAAAAGGGTGGCTAGTTAACCATCTGTACAAAGTAGTCTTAAACACATTATAACTAACATGGTGAGAGGTGTAATTTAGTTTGTTGAAAAGTGTTATACCTATAGTGGAATCCGAACCACATTTTTTCCTTGTAATTTACGAATTGGTCTAATTATCAGGATAGTACTGCGGATAGTCGTAGTACTCACTAGTGCGGACGTTAATCCACACCAGGGAGCATCGCATCCACAGTTCAACCCTATAAATATCCACAATTCGTGACCTCCTAATAGCTGGATTACAGGACGACACCACCCGTCCCAGTCTTATATATAATTTAATTTATATCAGACTGAGTCTTAAGTATGACTCACAGTTAATATATAATAAATATGCGAGGCATGATTTTTAAGGAAGTACCGTTTTTAAATTTCTCGGTTCCAGCGCTTTGATTGGCATTTTGGACATTTGCGCTGTTATGTGCATCGATTGGCAAGCCTGCACCAAAAATTCGGCAACAATCGGCCGTGTTTACAACCGGTTTCAAGCATTTGAAACGGTCCCGCTAATTGAGACTGCCGCCGACTGTGAAGTACATGCTGTAATTAGATTTTTAGAGCTAAAGGTGTGAAAGCCATTGAAATTCATCGTCAAATTAGTGAAGTGTGTGGCGAGAACATGAGTGACGGAATGGTACGCAATTGGGTAACAGCAACCAAGCGTTAGGCAGTGCATTGACTTTTCTTGAGCGCTACGAGGAAAAAGAAAATGATTTGGTCAAATTGTTACAGACGATGAAACATGGGTGTCTTAAGTTACGCCAGAGTAAAAAAAATCCATAGAATGGCGAAAAGAAACTGAAGTTGTACTGTCTTTTGAGACAGAAAGGGGGTGTTACTGGTACATTTTTTTCCTTTTTGCCTCGTGGTAACACAATAAACTCAATATCATACTGTGAGACCTTGGAAAAATTGCACCGGGCAATCCAAGACAAGTGGCGTGGAATGTTGTCCAATGGGGTCATTTACTGCACGACAATGCCCGGCCACATGTGGCTAATCGAATGCAAGAACTAATCAAATCATTTTGCTGGAACAACTTGACCACCCTCCATATAGCCTGGATCTAGCTCCCACTACCACCTTTTCTTATATTTAAAGCAACATCTTGGTGGTCAGCACCTAGGCAACGATGATGAAGTCAAAACGGCTGTGACACACACTGGTTATCCAGTCAGGCGGCAGAATTCTTTGAGAAAGGAATACAAAAGCTCGTGGAACGATATGATGTATGACTTATTGACGGAAACTATGTCTAAAAGTTGATTAAGACACTGGCTTTCAAATAAAAATATAATTATTACAATAAAGTATATTGGTTTTGGTTATTTTAAAACGGTACTTACTTAAAAATGCCTGGTAGAATAATTTGAAATTAATTCAATAACTATTATTAATCTTTATTATGTAATCTTTTGGCCATTGTTTCTCCACAAAAAAAATGCTGCTGATGGAGACACCAAGGAAAAATGTTTCACATACAAATTGTCACAGATATTACGTAGTGGAAATCAGTTATGAAGATTTGAATGATACTGTATTTGACAAACAAATAATTCAAAAATATCCTACTAACATCTCAAAATAAACCTTCAAGATTCTTTGCTACAAAAGGACATACAAATAGTTAGAAATACCTACGCCAAATATAAACAAATAATTTGCAATTTATTCCATAACATACCTATGAATCCAAGTCAAAATCAAGTTAATATATAACAAAAGTATCAGTAGATAAATAGGAAACATGTTGTGAAACCAACACATACTGAGAAGCTGTGATAAAGAAAAAGCTGATCTGCTCTCATGTGGGAGTTGTGTACAGTGTGTGACCAAAATCAACTGTCCCTTGTTTGTTTACCCATCAAGAGGCAAGACTGATAACTGTATATAATGAGACAGAAAAATTAATTGTCATCAAGGGTCAAATTGATATCTGTTTTGAATATCAGAGATTTTTGGGGCTTATAGAAGAAATTATAGATAATTTGTTTTTCTTGACATTATGAACCATACTGCACTTTTTAACATCTGTCTAATATGAAGAGCTAATTGGGGGAAAAGGGGGAGGGGAGTAAAAATAGTTAATTACATTTTACTCTCCATAACTACAAGTACCAAGTAGATCTTCAAGTATTGGAACATACCTTTAACTCCTGCTTAATATAAGGGTGGTCATTTTTGTTCAAACTATCTAAAAAAGATTATGTAACTGAAATCTATACTTATTTAATACGCAAGCAGGTTTTTTGTGACAATTACTCCTCCGAAACTACTGAACCGATTGACATGTTTTTGGTGTGATTGGAAAGAGCTTAACGTGAAGTTGTGCAGGAAACTTTCTTTTTAGGGAAATAGTTAGAGAGTGAGGCCCTAGGGCCCTTTAAAGGTTCGTATTTCTCAATAAGATTAACATGGGAAACAAACATTGTTATGAAACTCCAGCTGTTGTCAGAAATTAAATAGTATGGTCTCCATGGAAGCATGAGAAAATTCACAATGTTTACATTTGCTTTGACATTTAAATGTAAACAACCAGAACTGTCAAATGCCTATTTCACAATTTCATACAGCTGATAAAAAAAATAACATAACATTTTTTACACAACTATGAGGTAGGTTTATTTAATCTTAAACTTTATGATGGATTATTTATTTTAAATCTATTTCAATGATTATGAAACATATTTTCCCGTTGCGAAGCACGGGTACAGCAACTAGTCTTTGTTTATTTGGATTGGTACTTATTGACAAATGAAGTAGAGATTACACCTATGTCAAAAAGTCTACGGTTTACCCGGTGCTAATAATTATGTTGTTATCAAGTAAAAATGTTTCTTTAGGTCAGAATAACTATAAAAAAGATCTCCTCTTAGCAATTGATACTGCATTTGAGTTGTTTCATCTGTCTGACACGACTTGACAAAACCACAATTGATTGCTCATTTTCTGTATTAAGTTTCATTCACAGCACTAACCACTTCATCTTCATGTGAGCTTGTTTTATTTGATTTTGAATTCTTAATCAAAGTTTTTCCATTAAAATCATATTGTATTTTATCATAGACAAAAAGAATTAAATATCAGCCGTGCTGCAGTTACCTTGGTTACCATAGGCTCCGGCGCACACCGCTCTAGTTTACATAGCGCGTACGCCGTAACTACATGGCGCTCCAAGCGGTGTGCGCCAGACCCAATGGTAACCGCAGCACAGCTGACGGTCTATATTTAATTATTTTTGTCTATACAGCTCAAATATTTTCTGACAGTCTCTAAACTTAACAATAGTAGTTTTGAAAAAAAAAACTATTCTTTTTCAAAACATCACTTGAGTGGACGATGTGTACGATAGTTAAAAAAAGTACAAAGTGGTAGAGAGAGAGCCAAAAGCATTAACTGAAACCTAATATCCCAGATACATTTGCCTCAATTCATCTTAAACACAAAATAAATTTTAAAAATCATGAATAATTTCCATCAGTAAAGCTAATTATCTAAGATCGCATGCACCGATTCTATAACAACTTGCATAGACCCAAACAGAGAGAAAGAAGCATGCAAGCATACTTGAAAGCAAGCAAGACGTTGGCCTGCGTTTGGTGTTCCAAAGTTTCAACGTTCTGTCGGGCTCTAACCAAGGTACCTCCCCTGCGTCTGCAAACAAACATGACTGTACAGTGAGACATGCCGGGCGTGCCAGGATGGTACAAAGAACATGCACAATGAGGGTAGGTGACTTACGGGGTGTGTGAAACGATAGCTTATAGACTGAAGTTGATTAGAGTAAAAGTAGTTAAGTATCAACAACCTCAAGTTATATCGATTGAGGGAAGCAATATTGACATCTCGATCGAGTGAAGTGGTTTGAGTTAAAGAAGTATCGGCCGGAGTGAAATGGTATGCATTTTTTAGGATATTATGAAAAAGTTAATCAGTACTGATTTTGAACCGGTATTGATTAAGACCTATACTTAGATAGGAAGGACTGGTATTGATTTAGGTAGGACTTAGGTCGATGTATTTTTGTGGTATCAATAGAGTATAGTGGTATCGATTAAGTTAAAACATTGATAGAGTGATGTTGTATTGATTGAGTAAGACCAATACTTAGATAAAGTGGACTGGATCAAAGGTGTATCATTAGAGTAGCGGATAAAGTGAAATTAACTAAGTGATTTGATATTGATAGAGTGAAGGAGTATCAATCTAGTGATTTAGAAAGCCCTCACCATAATCGAAGCACAGGTAAAGCAACTAAAGAATTATAAAAGTAATATCAACCAATGTCCAGTGCAAGTCGCTTTATCAACTTTGATGAGCAATGATGACATCCCTATTAAGTCAGACAAAATAATACAATTTGCATGATTAAACAATCACAATCAGTCATTCCGTCTGTAGCCATCGCTCTGGCTCTTTCAATCTGCTCAGTTCAGTAACAATAGAGATCCTAACTGTAATGTAAACGAACTAATTTTTAACTATCTCACCTTTTCCATTTAAAAATACTTTTAACAAGAGAATTTAATTGTTTTGTAATGTAGGGCCTATAGGTAACAACATAAATATTACCACTATTTTGAGATGGATATACAAATGGTTCAATTTTAATTCAAATAGTATAAATTTTAATGACGACAGTGAAATTTGAGGGATTCAAAAGTAGATTGTTAGAAAATAAGATTAACTGCATGTTTCCTTAGCAAATATAATTTGTTAGAATAAATAAATAAATAAATAAAAATGTCTTTATTCAGCGTTTCTCTGGTACACCAGCTTTTCAGAACAACTTTCGTCACTATGCTAAACATCTTATTCAACAATCAATTATACATAACAATTTGAAATTTTTTACAAAACAATTCAACATATCAATGTGGTCGTTATACACTTAGACAATAGAGAATCCCACAGCAATGATGGCCGAGGACTGCTGGCTTCAAGATTATTTAAACCAATCTAGAAAAACTAGCTGTACTTGTTGTAGCTTAAAATGTCAAGTATTGTAAAAGTGATTGCAACAGTTAATATTTTTTTAATGCATTGGTAGTATCTAATGTAGTGAAAATGTTTGTTTTCATCACGCCATGATTAACTTTTTATGTCTAAAACATAAAAAATTCACTATAATCATTCCTAATACTTAATAATATAAAATGAGAGGTTTTTAATCAAAATTAATTTATATAAGAGATGTTAGAGTATTTCAATATTTTATTATATAAATTCAAATGCCCCTTTTATTAAACATAACAAATAGAATCAATTTAACTGCCTTGCGAAAGATTTTAGATTAAAGTAAGTAAAGGGGTAGTTGAAAGTTGTCTAACTAATTGTTGAATACTTTGTTAATTTGGTTTTCAATCTCATAATTTTTTTCTGATTCAGGAATATTTGAAAGCCATAAACTGATTTATTTATTGGATTTCCAACACAATTTATTTAACCGACCATTGCATGACAAGTGCAATGTGATCTAGGATGTCAGTTTCTTTGCTACCAATCTTGATCATCATTAATGAAGCTGTTTTGACATGTTTGTTCACACTTGTCACTTTGTCTTCATTACTCTATGTGAAGTTGGCAACGAATGCCACTTACTGCAAATGCAAACTAACCCATTCGTAGTTTAGTCTGGGCATTTCTCTCAGTTCCTAGAAAGGACTCTTATTATTATAGGATTAGGGTATACTTTCAAGAGTAGGATAATATACAAATTTGTATATACGTTGTTATTTTTAATCGAAATACATTGTGTTCCATATAATTTTCTTACTTTTTTTTTTATTTTACCATTTTTATATTTATATGGAGGTATTGTGAGAAATAAAACAAAATTGAAACTGCATTGGAGGTGCAACTGGTCACTCTTCTAGGAAACGGCTGCAGGCGCAGAGGGGAGAGATAATGTCCCGGGTTGCTGATAGCCCATGCGCCAACCTTACTGTATACACAGTGTAGTTTTACTTTATGATGTCCATAGAATAAAATTATACAAGGGGCAGACATTTATACATCAAACATATTTATGACTCTCTTAAAAAGTCAAACCATCGAACCAAAATGGTGAAAATGGTTCCCTCATATTTAACAGATTTTTAGTTGAAGTGTACCGGTATATTAATTTCACACGATGTCATGTTGGCTGATAGGTAACCAAGATACATGTTCGTGGTCCTCATTACAGAGCACTGATGAATGGTAGTTTGTATGAACAGCGCCGGGTCGGTCGGGTCATACATAACCCGAAATAGACACATTTCAAACTTGAGGGTCAAATTTGTTGTACAGTACTTTGTAAGGACAACGCAATTGACTCATTTTATGACGCTAGAAGCTGCTAGCCCCAATGATGAGTGTCTCAGTGTGAAAGTGACGTATTCAATCCCCAGCATTTGCTCAAACATTTTAGAGTTCATGGCTGCTTTCACACTATAACTATAGTTTGGCTACAGTTTTTTTCCGATGGTAATTAATTCCATCCATTATCCACTCCTGCACGTACGGCCTAAGGACCTGTTATAGAGAAGTAATAAAACGCACGAGCTTCACATTCGATCGCACATTTGTAATACCATTTGCCAACTAATTGTTCACCGCCATTACCTGCAGTTAATGCAGATTGTTTCTTCATTCTCTTCTCTACTTTCCTTCACAAATATGCCACTGGATATACATTAGGGGATAGTCTAGATCTAGATCACATTAATATTGCACAGCGCCGTCGGCAGAGATCGTCCTTGCCGCGTTATTGATAAATCACATCTAATGTTTTCTTTGACAAACAACCTTTCCGAATATTTTTGTTGAGATTTCGTTTAAGAATAATGGCCTAAACGATTTGTCACAACGAAAATAATGACGTTTAAAGTAGGCCTAATTACTTTTTTGTTAAGTAAAATTTAATTTAGATCACAACTTACTGCACAGGTTCTCTGGCTTAATTATCGAAACCAGATCAAAAACAATCGTAAATATGAATTATTAATGGTATTTAAACTGTGGTGATAAGCTTTTGACTTGAAATGGATCAACATGCTTAAACTGGATCAAACAGACCTTAAGTCCAAATAATTAGCTTCCTCAGTTGCTGCAAGTTCAATATGAAGAGGTCCTTGATGTAGATTATACTACCAATAGCTGTCATAATGTACATAATAGCTGTCTTACTCAACCACAACTTGCATTTTAACTCGGTTTGGTGTGGTAGGGTTCAATATACGACGACATGTCCTTGATGCCGTCATATACCATAACAACCACGGTCACAATTTCCTCCAAATTGGGTGAAATGCCACGGCGTCCTTCATGCTGGACCGGACATTTCGTTCCGTAGTCCGAGGGCCACAACACATCGACCAAAATATCCAATAAACATGTAGGGTCAAAAGCAAAAGCAGGGGGAAATATAAATACCGGTAATTCCTGTCTTTCAAACATTGTAAATGTTAACTGTTTTAAGCCATTTGCGGGGCCAGCAGAGACCTTTTACAAATTCAAATCTAACCAAACACAGTTTTTTGGCATATTTAATGTGATGAAATAATCAAACTTCTTTGTAGATTATTCATTATCTTAAAAATTATATCACATACGATAATTTGATAAATATAAATATTTATATACGCTAAGGCGGCTCACTAGCATACAGTTTTATTGACTTAATAACTATTAACTTACGGGAAAATAGACCGATTTAAGTAGTCTACATGGCAGTCTCCAATTACATGTAATGTTGTGGTTTATTCGTCAGCGGAGGAAAATCGTTATCAAGTTACGCTTTTGTCTCAATTGTCTCTCAAGGCTAAGCAGTTAATGGACAAATGGACCTCCTCTGTTTATAATCGGTTTGCACCAGAAAAGTTCAAAGTTAATTTTTTGAACATTTGAATTGTAAATTTGGTTAATGCGTAAAGCTCCCCATTTTATGAATAACTGTGTATACTAAAAGTAGACTTCTTGACCATTTGTAAAATCGGAAATCGCAAGCATTTGCTTAAGATGAGTTGTTGATCTTTCGTTCGCTGAGGTCGACTAAATGTTTTTAAGGTTAAATTTTTGTGCCGTACTTTTGGATTTTAGCACTAGAAGTCAAGTAATAGAATACGTATGCTATGCAACTGATTGTTGAAAACAGCCTACGTAAAACTCTATGATAATTGGTAACAATAGTAAATCCTTGTGAGCTTGAATGTTTTATAATCATACGTTCATTTGGGGCATTGCAAAGCACTTTTGTGTTATGATAGTTGATGATTATGATAGTTTATAAAAGTAAAAACATTGAAATAAAATATGTTCTTTATTTTAAAAAAATCCCGAGCAAGAAACCAAATACTTGAGCTTGAAGTCATAACAATTTACTGTAGACTCAGCTTTTGGTCTGAATGACATCATATCCTGGTTTGGCTGACGACAACACTATCGGCATTTGTGTTTGCAAATTGTTCAAAATTTTAAATCAATATTAATATGTTACGAAATATGATACTGTAACCAATGTACAATATATAATGTTAAAATATCAGATTTTGCTGACATTCGATGCTGATTCGAGTGAACGCACGACTGAACGTTGACAAAATAATACCTAATTTTCTTGCTATACAAATTACAAAAGCAGGAGTGTAGTATAAGAGCTTCGCTTACTCCGC